ATAATTGCAAAGTGACTGTACTAATGAAAAAAAATCATAATAAATTTTGATCTAATCCAAATAGTTTTTAAATTATTAATATCAATTTCTTAAGAATTTTAACTGTACCATATAAGAAATGTACATAATAACATACAAATATGTATAGCTAGTAATTGCCGATTTATGTCTCATCATTTAATATCTCTATATATGCGTAAGTTTTCACCCACAATAGGAAATGATTATTTGATGAATTTCATTAATAATGGTTTTTAAAGACACGCGTTCAAAATATTCTTTACCTCCACCCTCAAAAAAAAATTTCTAAAATTTTTCTAATTTGTAAATCATTTGCTTTTGGTTTGATTGTCATCACACGCTCACAATTTAATATTTTTTAATATTTATAGTTAGGGTCAAAATTTGTCGCAAAGGCAATCATGTATAACAACTATAAAAATCTTATTAATAATTATAAATTGGAAATATTTTAAATATAACAAAACAAAAAAAAAAAATTCATTAGAATTCTGATGTTGCTTTATTTGTAATAATAATGATTATAAATTTAAATTTAAAAAAATTAAAAAATAAATGAAGAATACTCTAGGGGGCGCTAGATATCCGGTAAATATTCGAGTAGAAAAAAAATTTTATTAAAAGGTGTGGAAAATTGTACAAATCATTCTAATTTATAATGGTTTTAAAATTCAGTTGATTAACTTCAAAGTCATCACCTTGGGAAAATAGTGTTATAGGTAGGTATGTATGTACATAGGTATGTGATTTTATTAGAAATCTCAATAAATATCTTAATTATGTTCCAGTTAATCAAAATTTTAGTATAAATTAATTTGATTAATTTCAGAAAGCAGTGTGGGATCACTCACATTATATAACAAGTATTAAATTATTCGATCAGTTATACACAAACCGTTATTTCGATAATATAATATAATATTATACAAAATGTGATAGAAGAAGCTCAAAATATAGTCAAAGATTTTGTGATTTATATTATACACATCAAAAACTCAACTATAGTTTAGAAGTCTTCAATTTTCTAATACGAGCAAAATTCGACAGAGTATAACGAATATTTAGTGTTATCAGCGCCGTATATATGCAAAGTAAGTATATTGCAAAGAGCACTCGAAAACAGGGGCGCAATTATTATCTGCAACATTTTTATTGCATATTGTTAATTGCTTTGAAATCCGAGGGTGGGCGCTTTATTATATTTTTTGGATAAGGTGTAGTAAAAAATTATATAGTTGTCACCTTATTCTTTACTTATATTAAAATACTAATTAAAAGAAACGTTACACATACAAAGACAAAGAACAATGTGCAAACATAATTTTCTTTTAAATTCTTGAAGGATGTTTTCAAATAGTACTTTAATGTTACCCCTTGCTTATTTAATTTTAAATCACTTTTTATTTTGTTGTTTCTTCTTATGTTTTCTTCATTTAGTAAATACATTTACTTAAATACTATAGCATATTTACTGATGAATTGGTTACTTTTGTTTTTATAATTAAACTCTCAATTTTTTTTTTACTTTAACTGATGTCAAACTGTTATACATTGTGTATATATACGTACTGTATAATATAGAAAAGCCGTAAGTCAAATAAAGTTTTGTATATATATTTTTTTTTTTTGATATAGAAGAGCGTTATAAAATAATTTTTAATGAAAATCATGTGGCTCATCAAATATTCACGAGCGTCTTGTATTTTTACTTTGATTTTTGTATACTCTTTATTTTTATACTTTCCCATATACATACATTGTTTATATACATATATTGTTTTTTAATCTTAAAGGAGTGTTTATATTTTATCAAACTTTATAAAATATAATACATACACAAATATACACCATAATGAATAAATACAATATATACAAAATAGAATACTTTTGAGGATTTAACTAATTTAAATAATGAGAAGAAAAAAAAAAAAGAGTTAAAAACAGCTTGTGGTAATAATAGCGGTGATATTGGTTATGGTTTGTTTTTCTTCTTTTTTTCGGTATTTAAATATTATTTAAATGAAACAAGAGTACAATGTACATTTAATGGTATATACATATGTATACATTATGTATTATATAATATTATAATAATTATAATGGTTTGGTGTATGATAATGGTGACAATAGCGAGAAATATCACAGTTTTAAAAATTAGAATTAAAGTTGACTATATTACTGTTATATTTAAAGTATATACGTGCACGTTTTTTATTCGCCCATAATAATATAATTTTAAAGAAAAATTTGCTCCCGGCATTATTACTTAATTTTAAGATTTAAAAAAAAAAAAAACACACTCTCATTTCAATGTCAACCTTCTTATTATCGCATATTTTATGGTACATACGAAATTTTTCATGTAGGTTTCTTATGGGATAAATGATATTTTAGAAAAATAATAATAATAAGAAGTTGAGAATTTATATTTGCTATTATTAGTGAACAAAAAAGAAGGAAAATAAATAAAAAAGCTTTTAAAAAAATATTTTATTAAAAAGTTTTTAAATGTCGTGTGTAGAGGGCAAAAAATAATGTTTATCTTGGATGTTATGCGTGCATTTTGTTTCTACCATATTACATGATATTTTTTTTTTTATCTTAAGTCTTAAAAAGGAAAATTTTTTTATTTTAAAATAAAATTATAATACGGAATTATAAAAGAAAAGGTTCGTTGTTATTAGTATTTTGTTTTTAAAACATATTATATAAGTAAGTAGCTTTAAGAATAGCCCAAAGGTTTTTTGCGAATTAAAATAGTGATGAGTAATATTGTTAATGTAATATCATAGTTGGAAGATAGTTTAATCTTAAAATAAATTATAAGTTCTTCTCTTTTTTTTTAGAAATTTTAAAAAAATCAAAAAAATTTAAAAAACTTTTTAATTACATACAAATTAAGAATGAGAGCACACGTGTAACCTTCACTATGCAATTAGTAAAATTTTTCTAATCTATAATAATTTGCCGCTAGTAAAATATTGTGAATAGTTTTTTAAGAGATCTAAATGGAAGTTTAGGATATAAAATATCCTTAATAAATTTTTGAATAAAAACCACGTTATTGAATAAAAATCTAACAATAATAGCCTATTTTCATGGGACGGCAGCCTAAAAGGATCGAATTAATCTAAACCACGGAATTCGAATTGAAGAAATCTCCTCTAAACCGACTCGTCCCTAAAAATATCAATAGAACGGTAAGGCGCCATAATCTGACATGCGTATTCCAAAATGGGCCTAACATATTATATGATAAATAAAAATGCTTCCCAATATAGAAACAATTAAAAAAAAAATTGTACGTACACAATTAAACACAATGATCAATATGAAACCCTAAGAATGCGTGAATTTTATAGGTAACATGAACTACAAAATAGTAAATTTTTCGAACTATAGAGGAACCATTGCTTTTGTTCACAAATAAATCTCTACTACATAGGTATACGAATATTTTGATTCGCTGAATTGAATTATCTTTATTAATTTTGCAAGACAAAAAAAAAAATTTTTTTTTTTGGCAAATTTTATTATGCAAATTAAGTTTACATAGTTTTTTTATAACAAAAAATTTTTTACCGTTATTATTAGTAGTTTCCTTTTATTATTAAGATATAACATACTTATAATTTAATTCACCATTATTTAGTCAAAAAAATGCCAAAAAAAAATATACAACAAAAAAAAAAAAAAAAGAGAAAACATTTTTTTTTTCTGACCCCATAAATTTTTTGAATGTTCACTTTACATGCAACAAAATTTTAATGAAAAACCGAAATCAAAAAAAAAAATATCGCGCAACTGAATCACAAGGAAAATAGCCGGAAAACTTTTTTCTCTATATATTTCTACATTTTTTTTTTCTTTGTTTTTTTTTTCTAGACCGCATATCAAAATGAAAGCACCACTCACTCTTTACGTAGGTACTATAAAACTATGAAGAATGAAAATAATTCAACTATAAAATAATAATAATAAAAGGAAAAGCAGAAAATAAAAGAAAAACAGAAAGAAAGACCTGCAACAAATATTTGAATTTTATGAAAAGACAAAAGCATTGGAGGAGCGACCAGTAGGAAGAGATGAAAAGTGCAATTTCACCTTAACTTAAACTTTAAAATTCTATTTTTTTCTTTTTTCAATGTACCGGTTGCGGCATGTCGGTTGGTGATCAAAAAAAAATATGCATAAACCAAAAGGACAAGAAAAATTTGAAAAAAAAAAAAAATTATTTAGTAGTTTTCCCGTTAACTTGTATCTTAATATACATATTCAAAATTAGATAACCATCTTATAAATAGAGAGATAAAAGAGAAAAACTACAATAACCAAGCGCAAATATTCAAAATAGATACAAAGCTCAAACAAAATTTTTTACATTTTTCTTGTACTCCAATATTTTACTGTTGAGGCATTGTAATTTTCCTTTTTTTTTTAACCCTTTATTGTCTTGAACATAACATAACAATTTGAACAAAAACTGTCAGCTCACTTGTTACTTGCATTACTCTTGTAACCTAAGCTATTTAAAATATTTAAATATTTGAGTGATTTGTGAAATATACCGAAAATTACTAATAATATATAGCGCCCGAACATGTACCCATTGAAAATGCATAGAAACAATGTATTGCGGACGGAAATATGCTCGGGCGCCATGATACTATATAAGAAAACAACAAGAGTTAAAGGAATCCAATCATTATATCTCATTAGTTACGGAGGTATTAAGACTTCCAATTGTTCAATTCCACTACAATATTCAATTTAAGAGGTGTTTTAGCGAAATATTGGTAATTTTTAATATATTAATTATAATTTCTAAATATTTTAAATAATTTGTCTATGTTTTAACATTTTCTAGTACCACCAACTTGACAAAGTATTAATTTTTTTGTTTCTTTTGGCTCTCATATTTCATACACAATTTTTATTGTTGAATTTCATTTTATATTTATAAAATATATAAAACTTACCTTTCCACTTAGTACAATACGAGCAGCTGATAATTCTGTTTGCGGAACTAAACTCATATCGGTACCTAAAGTTTTTGCAACATTCGACATACTAGATGGTACTGATAAACCGTGCGAATTTTCAGCACGAACCAAAAATACATAAGATGTTCCCGGCTTTAAATCCGATATCTAAAAAAGAAAGAATGTAAAAATAATAAAATTAAGATTTTTACATTAAAAATTTTATTATTTTAGAGTTTCGTTTTTTTATTTTTGCTTAACATTAAAAAAATATGCAAATAAAGTAACATATCTACAGGTTAGTTATACACCTAGTCATATTCCTGTAAAACCTATGATTATTACAATTACTATATGAGTACAATTTAGTAATACTTGTAGTAGATACCTAGGTATATCATATTTAAAAATTGAAAACTCTGCTGTATATTGTGTGAGCGTATAAAAAAAAAAAAAGAAATTTTAACATTAACATTCAAGATGATGATAAACAGATAGAGCTTTGATTGTAAAGTAGTATCGAGGAGGAAAAAAATAAAATAGTAATTTTAAGTTTTTATTTTTTTATTTTTGGTTTTTGTTTCCATGTAAAAATAATAATTTCTGTTAAGCAGAGTGTTTTACATGATGTTTTCATAATCTTTTTAAAGCATGAATTTTTACGCTTATATTTTACTCTTATCATACACGTATATGCATATAAGTAGTAGGAATTTTACGATATTCGGGTGAAAGGAATCTGAAGTTAAAATATGCAAAGTAGAAGAGTAGTTATTTTTTATTTGTTTTTTTTTTTTTTATGAAAATAGTGTTGAATATACAAATTAATTATAATTGCACGGATATGAACATAATGTATGTATATAAAAAATTTGTAATTTGTAAATTAAAATGTAAAAAATTATTTTTAAATAAAATTTTTAAATTTATAGATGACTGAGTTTTGATGGAGAGCAGAAAATTTATATTAATTTGAGAATAATAATTTGTGAAAATGAAATCAAATAAATACCAGAGAGACAGAATAAATTTGATTGGAATTAATAAAAGGAATTTGTTAAAGAGTATTTTAGTCATTATTATAATAGTGCAATTTTTTAGCATATATTTAGGGGCAAGACAAAAATCTTAAGAAATTCGGCAGTAATTTGGAATGTAACATTTTACATATGAATACATAATAAAAATCACTATATAAATACAGTAAAATCTCAAGACCAATATTTTCGTACAATCAATGAAAGTGATCAATGTTGAGTGGAGCGTAATACACTGGAGCAAAATTTGAAATATCTTAAAGCACTTATAGAATTTTTAGAACGTTTCCGAACCTTTGAAAATTGGTAGAAAGAATAGGATCATGGGAAGCAAGACACAAGCTAAAATTTTATGGTGCTCGGATATATATATCGCGACGCTGTACAGAAAAGTTTAACTACAAAATTAATTGAACGCTTCCAGATGTTTGGGATAGCGTTTATCGTATAAGGCAAACTATATAAGATTTCTCTCTCGAAAATAACCAGTCAAATATTTACAGTCTATTCGAATGAAAATCACAAGCACGGATTGTAAATTTAATCGCTAGAAGCAAAAAGCAACAGAACATTGCACTTTAAAGCGGTATGTTCTTGATCAGTGATGTGGTTAGCGAGTTGATTGTCAAACCTATTTAATTTAATCTAATTTAATATAACAATATAAAAAAATTTTTGTGGTAAAACTTTCAAATTAGTCGTGAAATTAATCTCATTTTTTGCTACATTAAATTCTTTAAAATCTGATTATAGTAACCAGGAGTACAGTTACAGATCGTTAATTGGAAAAAAATTCTATAAATTTTTTTTTAATGTCATATTATATGCAAATTGTTAATATTATTAAATCTTTTCAAATTTTTTATACAAAAAATGTAAAAAAAAAATTTATTTTATTAAAAAACGAGTCAAAGATAATCTCTAAGAGCAAATAGAACTACATACATACTTATTTTTATTTCTTAAACATTTTTTTAAACAAATTATTATCATCAAATTATGCTAAATATTTAAATACAAAAATATATTTTAAAAAATAAATATTATATTCCAAAAAAAAAAAAAATATGAAAAAAATTTACAAAAAAATAACTGATTCAAAAAATATTTTCTTAACAATAACAGCCAAAGTAGTATATTACAAAATATCATATAAATAGAAAAGGAAATATTAATGTCCTGAAAATATTATTCTTGTTGAAATAACAATGATTCCTTTTACAAGTACATATTGTATTTATATAAATGACAATGTTAAGAATATGATGATATTCATAACATGAAATCTAATTTAAGATGCAACAAAAAAATCTGCATACATCATATTCCAAAAAAAAAAAAAAAATAATGGATATTTTTATTATAAAATTTTAATGTAAATAATATGGATAGTATGTGTAGGGATGAGTACCTATACATTATTTACGAAATCATGTATTAATATTAAGTAGATATATATGTGTACAGATTGTATATTTTAATAGAAAATAGATATAAATATCTTAAATAAGAAAATTATTTAAATTTTATATTTTTAGTTTCTCCATATGAAATGAGGAAATTATTGCAACATATGACAATGGATATATCACTATAGGAATTCCGAGTTTAAATTGAAATTTTTTTGACAATTTCAATGATTGCGAAGTTTTTAAGAATTTAGTAAAATCCTACTTTATATAATATTTTAATAAAAATTTCTTAGTTTCTAATTTAATATACTTATATGGAAAAGATAATAGAAATTCAGATGAATATGAGGGTTAGCGCTTACGTTCCATCATTATAAGTCTATCTTAATAAATTGTTGGTTAGTTAGTTAGTTGATTGACGTGGCCAGAGCAGTAGGCTCATAGTACCCCAATTAGCGCATATGTACCGTTTTGCTGCTACAATATTTTGATCATCCGGTCTTTATTGAACATACGATTACAGGAGGACTATTTCAAAGGCAGCCGCCTAGTTCCCTTAAAGAATCTATATAAATCTCCAATGCCAATCTTTAATATTTCATCCAGCGCCATCACACTTCTTCTGTCCGTCTGATCACACTTGTCCGTCCAAAACCAGACACTCACAAAAATAGTGAACAACCAATTTTTTAGAAAATTAACATTTAAAACTTTTTATATTTAATTTTATCTTTGTTTTAGGGAATGCGCATTTGAAAAATTTTATACTCAGCGCTCTTCAATATATAAATCGAAATTTACTGAAATTACAGCTATATATGTAAAAGGTGTTACAATTGGATTTCTCTGATGATCAAAGATGAAAATGTCATAACTAAATACTAGTTATAACTTCGACGAGCATCGTATAAACCAATCAACGTAATAAACAAATTATTACATAAAACAAGTCAGAAAAATTTACATTAGTATAAGCAATATCGCCTTACGATTAAGTCATAAAACCCTCGTAATCACATTACTATATACGGTTAACATAGTTGCATTGTCATTCAAATAACTTTGAAATCATGTATAAATTCATTTCTCTATTATATTAAATTATATTAAAACACTTTTCTGAATTAAAGTAGATTAGAAATGTATACCATAATGATTATATAATTAGTGCGGGATTAAAAATTTCAGCCAGTCGGGAAATTTAAAAATTAGTATAATGGTTTATTTATTATAATTGCATACAATATAGTAAGACCTGCAAACATGTAGTATATTTTATCAATTACATAATGTTATATATATATATATGCATTTCAAATTATTCATAGATGCACAAAGAAAAAAAAAATAAACAAAATTCAACGGATGCAGTTAATAGTAGTACATAACATATATGTATATATATAATTAGGAATGTATATAATATAAATATATACATATATGATTTACAAATACATTATGTATGCATAAAATAACAAACAAAGTTATCAAAGTAAATTTAAAAAAAAATTATGCATATCCCTTTATATTTTTGTACTCTAAGGTAAAATTACAAGAATTTAAATTTAACATGGAATATATTACACATATATGTATATATATATATACATAAATGTACAAAAATGTAAGTAATATAAATATAAGAAAAGAAATTGTAGTCAATGTTGCAAATAATTTATGCAAAATATTTTATATTTAAAAATATAATGTTGATTTTTTAAAAAGTTACTTGTTTTATTTATTTTATTTTATAAGTATATATAGAAAGAAAAATCATGTTATTTTTATTATATATATACATAAATATATTTTGTGTAATATGCATATTATATACATTCACCCATTAAATGTTTTATTTTTCTTTATAAAAATATACTTTACATGCAAGTATATGCATATTAGATGCTGCTGGAAGACATCTGGGAAATATTTACTGATAAGTTCACCATGTATTTAAATAGTTTTATGGCAAGGTACAAGGTGACTTATTGTTTTTAGAAAATTAGATGTAGGGTGGACACTGCACATGAAATTCTAATGTTCAAAATTAAATTACTGTGTAAACATAAAAATTGTTACAGAAATACAACAAAATCCCCTTATACTAAGAACTAACAGTTTGCCATAACAATTTTCAAATCAAATAAAATTAGAAAATGGTCTTCCAATTGGATTTAAAACTGAATTTTTAAAAAAATTAAAAAACTATATTCTTCCAATTTGATTTGAAACTGTCTTCCAATCGTCCAATTTGATGTGAAATCGTCTTCCAATTTGATATTAAAATTAGTATTATTTAATTATTTGAAATACTATTTTATTCTATAATTTATAGCTTCACACTATAAGGACAATGAAACCTAGTTTTTTGGTAGTAAATAAAATATTAGCTTTATTCTATATTATTCCATAAGTTGTTGGCATTGGCAAACGATTCAAATAATAAAAATGTGCACTCCGAAAAATAATGATGCTATTGGAGACGAATGTTCTCCACGTGTGGAAATTTGTAATCGTTTAAAAGTCTACGTTGTAGTTAAGCTCGTAATTCTCAAAATTCATATTTTTTTTTGAAAATTACGAACTTAACCGAAATTCGGTTGAGAAATTTCGCATAAGCACATTATTATACTAAAATTTCGTCGGTTAAAAGGCAGAAAGCACTAAGTGCAATTTTTGAGAATTCGATTTATCTAGATGACTAAATCAGAACAATATATTCTTTGTTGTGGCAAAAAATCATGCAAATCCAGAATATAGTTTAGAAGTTAAAGAGACTGATCCCATTGCACTAATTGATTAGTTTTACAATTTTAGGATTTTTTCAAATTGAATTTCATCAAAACACGGTTTCCTGACTTAATGCTTTCTGCTTCTTAACCGACGATTTAGAAAATGTGTTCAGTAAATATCTTAAAAATTTGAAAGCATCCTCTATTTTAAATATATTAAAATTGCTTCTTTTTATTGACAGAATATGTTAAAAATTTTATTATCATAAAATGGTTGCAAAAAAAAAAAACAGAAAAAAAAGCTAACAAATATTAACATTGAAATCCATCAGAGAGAGGGAGAGATAAAGAGAGAGAAAGATATGAAATTACAAGAAAAACTTTAGATAAAAACTTATAAACAAAAAAAAAAAAACAAATTTTTGAAATAAAAAACCGAAAAAAATATTAGGGATAGAATAAAAAACCTTTTTTTTTTTTTTTGTAAAATACAGGAGGGTTAAAAAATTAAAAAGTTTACATGATGCATTATTCAGTTTTTTTTTCCATTTTTTATTAAAAGAATGCAACATTTTGTTGATGAAATAATTTTACCATAAAAATTTTGCATCTACTACAAAAGTATGTGCATATTTTTCTTTTTAATTAATAAAATTTTTAGTTTGATATTTTCATTATTTACTAGATGAAGTTTTAGAAAACTTTAATCATACTATTAATATAGAAAAGTTTTAATTAATTTCCCAGCTTTTACAGGTGTGTTACAATGAATAAATTTTAATATATTCATTTCTACTAAAAAACAACCTTGAGTCTCATAGCGGAATAATATTGGAACTGAAATCATAATTATAAAAAATAAATCTCATACTTTGATTCATTACTTCAAAACTCAAAATTTAGAACATCGAAAGTAATGATCTTAATTTTGAAAGAAAATTATTTGTAATTAGAGTATGAGAGGGTTAATAAAGATCTCATACAGTTGATTTTTATTGTTATAGTAGAACTATTTAAATCGATTTTGTTTTGAGACTACTTAATATGCTCTTTTTGAATACGAAAATCAGTGAACGGTATCGGAAACCATTTTAATAATTTTCTTTGTGGTCGTTGTTAACAGCCATGTATCAGGTCATTTCGACTGACTTGATCGTGAGAGGGTTAATAGGTTTTTGGTTTGTAGATGCAAGTTTTATAACCAAGATTAATTGAATTTTAATAGGGTATTACTGTTGTAATTGTTAATTTTTAAAATTTAATTTATAATATTTTTGCATGATATACTTTTCTCAAAATATTTTCTTCACTCGGATTATCTTCAGTGCTTTCAAAATTTAATAATATAAAATATAGTCAACATAGCAGTTACACAATAAGAGTAAAGAAATTTTCAATTTTTTTTTTTCCGATATCCAATTCATCGCTATTATAATTATTTTAAAGCAATGCACAGATTCAACACTAAATTAAAAATTCCTTAAATTCAAAATATTCTGATAATTTCCTACTTTATTTCCCAATATTCTTTAATATCTTTTTTTTTATGGTCTGTATTCCTTCTAATAGCTTCGTATATGATTTACGTATAGAATATAGTTTATAAAATATAATTAAAGAGTACACTTACCGTTATGGTTTGATCTGGATAACGATGACGGGCAACAACCCAACCAGTTTGTAAATCTGAACTAAAATATTCAACGGTATACCTGTGTGAAATGAACAATAAAAAAAAAAGAAATAATCTCAATTAAAATCAAAATTTTATTTATTTTTATTTCTAATATTAAAAGAAATTGTAATAGAAATTAGAAAACAAAAACAAAATCACTGCAAATAATTAGAGGGAAATAGGAAAAAAATTCTATAAATTTTAATCGAATTATATTTGGGCGCCATTTTCTTCTTTTACCTAGCTATATTATAGTTTTCCATAACAGTTCATTTTTCTTTAAAGGGAAAATTTATTGTACAAAATTATTATCATTATTATTATTTGATATTATTTTAATGTTATTTTATTTATTTTTTTTTCATTGTGTTGCAACTTTTTTATTTCTTGTTCTCTTTCATGGAATGCATTCCTCCAACAAAAAAAATTTTTTTTTTTAACCTCGGGCAAAATTTTTTGTACCCATTTTTTAAAGCTCAAAATTGGGTATAAGAGTAATTTTTTTTTAGATTTCATAAAAATTCAGAACATATTCAATAAAATTGCAATTGAATATTTTCAGCATATACCTATTTCTATAGGTCTATAATATAAATGTATAAAAAAAATTCATTTGGATTCGCAAAATTTTTAAAAATATTAAAATTTTCTACATAATAGGTTATGCACCATTAAAATAATAGAGTAAAAATAGAGAGAAAAAACTAAATATAATAATAACAATTTCAATAAGAGTAAATGAAAATTTTGTAAAGGAAGTTTAAAAATTTTATATGTACTTTCATTTAATGCAGAGTGTATTAAAAATTCAATATAAAAATTCAAGTAGAATTTAGTATAAGGCTTGCATATCTATTATATGAACAATTCTATTAAAGATGTGTAATGTATCTTCATAAGTCTTTTTAAAATTATGTTCCCTTCATAAGTAAACGTATTTAATTGTCCAATCAAACGGAATATTTACTTTAATTCCAAAAGCACTGGAGAACTGAAGAAATTTCAATATGTTATCTTGCCAAAACTAATTTGTGTTTTGTGACTAATTAATAATTATTCAAAAAGAAAATACGCAAAGTGAAATTAAATAAGAAGTTAAAATGTGTTGGATAGACTTAAGACATCAAACATTTATTATAGATTGCATTAGATCCAAGTTGAATGAGATGACAATATTTTTAAAGCAAAATTAACTAAAATGTTTAGACTTTAGATCAACAATTTTCTAACATTCATCATTTTAATCAAATCAAACAAAAATCAAAATCAAACATAATATATTATGGACAATGTTTGATAGTGTAAAAAATTTACTTCCAACTTGAAACTTCTGATGAAATTAATTAATTATTTTTTTAGAAATAATTCGTATTTTTAATATATCTTAGCAGATTTACTGTTACAAATATTATTCAGAAATTATAATAATTTTGCAACATTCATTTTTGTAACACGCTGTATATATCAAAATAATAATATAAGTAAATGTATACTTATACAGTGAATGGTCAAATCTGAATATGGACATAATGTCGAATAGAATTGAAAGGAAATTTATTTTTTATATTTTAAATGATAACGTAATAATAATAATAATGATGATAATAGTAATAAAAATAATAATAATGGTAGTTAAAATATAGTAGTGCACGATAGAGCATTAAAATATACGTTTGAACTCTTATAGATTATATTATAAGTATGCAATCATGCACCATATTGTAATCATATATTTAAGCTAATAATAAGTAAGTTTTGAAAGTTTAGAATATTTTTTTATTTTATATAAAATGAATAGGAAAAAAAATATTATATAAATTAGTAGGTACGATGAAAAAACAAAAAAAAAATAAAGTTGACCAGAACGTATCATTATTAATTCTAAATTCTATATGCTGTTAAAAGTTTAAAATAGGTATGACGTGATTATTATAATGCATATGCAAGTATGTAACATTATTCTATTCAGTAAAATATTTTTAACTCAGTAAGAGAAATTTAAATGGTTTGCAAAAGTTTGGTTTGCAAACGGTATTATTTTGAAAATTTTTTAACAGTTCCAATTATTTGTGAATATGTGCCTTTCATATAAATTTAAAACTTAAAGTGTTACACAAATTGTGAGCTTGATATTTTAGACTATAATTTCAGCGACTTAATTATTATAGAGAAAAATTTTATAAAACTAAATTAATATTAAAAAATAATAAATAATAATATCCAAATAGTTAAAGATCTAGTACCGTAAAACGTATCGTAATTTTTAAACATTTAAAAACATAAATTTCAGCTCATACTAGAATATTGAATCTAGATAATACACTATTACGATATTGCCCTACGATATGGTATATCGTAAATTTTGACATAGTTTATCGTAAGAAAATTTTTGTATTTTATTTTTGCTTGTTTTTAATTATTTTGCTCTGCCAACTATTCCTACTAATTAAAGAACTTTCCATTCATTTATATTCAAACAATATGTACGAAATTTTCTATAATATTTTTAAAAAACTACTTCCCTACTTCTCTATATAACAAAATATAGATGCAATTTTAAACAGGGAACATTAAAACTATAAAATGTAACAAATTAAGGAAATTAAATTTAGTTACATTGTATTTTGATTTTACTATGATTGTTTAGATTTAAGCACAATTTCGAAAATTATATTCACCGTTTTTCTTAAACTTAAAAACTATTTATTGCGATATTAATCACATTGTAAACTAAATTTGGTCAACGTATAAATTGTAATGAAAGTTGCATAATTTCAAGTACTTACTAAATATTAAATGTTCGAAATAAATTTATTCGATAAAAAGAAGCAACAGAAATGCTATCCTTTAATAATAAAAATGTAATGATTTTCCACCCATTCTACTTAAAGAAAATTACATTGTTTAGAAAATTCATTTCAACAGGTATTTTATAAATATCGAAAAACGAAAAAAAAAATAGTTGTAGGTGAATTATATTGTATTTGGAACTTGTTTTTAATGAATGGAACAAAATATTTTCAGACCATTTTAAAAGATAATTCAGCATTCAATTTTTAAATTTTTCTGATTATTTTTTAAGTGAATTTGATTATGCTCATATACATGAAATCGAAGTAAAAATTCTATATCTACATACGTATTTGTAAATATGTGTTGTCACAACTCGAACTGAGACTTGAAATGGTTTCAATTGGAGCAAAAATGATGAAATTTTAACACAACATTCTATTTGCATAAAATAACTACCGCTAAAACTGTGACAGAATTTATAAATAGAGCTTAGAAATCATAATAAATAAGAATGCAAAAACTGCTTTGGTCTCAAAAAATTTTGCAACTTAAATTGTGAAACGAGCTGTTGCACCTCTGAATTATATGTTGCACCACATAACTCCAATTGTGCACCAACTCAACATATATTGAAATTATTCCAAAATTTTATATTTCGAAATTTCTGGAAATTGAAAATTACGGCTCAAGTTTTGAGTTTTTATCTGGCATACGTTAATGTGGTTTACATTTCGTTATTAATAAATTATCGAAACTGAATTGATTTATAAACGATATTTCAAATAAACTTTCGAATTTGTTTGCATAAATCCAATGAATAACCCTATGAAAACCAAAGCAAATTGGAATAAATTTAAAATTACAAAAAAAAAAACTAAAAATTTTAAAATTCATGATATTTACAGGGATAATTTTCAATAATCTATTCAATATTCACAAATAAAATGTAAAAGTATAATAGGTATGCACAGTCTATATGCAATATTGTTTATGTATTCAAGTTAAATCTCATTAGCTTTAAAAAAAAACAAATTTAAATAGTTTTTCTTAAAAACATTGTTATAATCTAATGAACATGATGATAGCAAAAATACTGGTTTCAATACATTTTGAATAGATTTTCAAGAGAACAAAAAAATAGAAACGAGATTGCACATTGCATACACATTCACAATACGATTTCAAAAGATAGTTTTGAATGGAGAATGAATGAATAAATCTTCAATATTTTCTTGTTCTCCTTTTTGTCTTTTTTTTCAAAAAATACAATTTAATGAAGTTAAATTTCTTAATATGGAATTTATTTACAATAATAATAATAAAAAAAAAATTCCTAATTTTACGAATGCCAATATGTTCTTCTTGTGAAAATAGAAAAGAAAAAAATTCAATTGTTTTGTTTTTTTTTTTGTATTTAAAGGTACTGGAGAAAGAAAAATACAAATAAAATATTGTAAAACTTACCCAATTATAGCGCTTGCTCCAGGTCGATCAGGTCCTTTCCATCTTAATGTTATACTACTTTGGGTAACATTAACAACTTTTGGTGTTCCAGGTGTTGATGGAAATGTATTTGGATCTGGTGATCTATGCTGTATAGTGCTACCACCTTTTTCAACCTTTATAAAGTAAAATATAAAAATTTAATATATTATTATTTTAGAAGAGTTTTTCATTAATTTTAAATAATTTAGTATATATGAATGCATTTAAAATTATATTGCATGTTTGTCTCATATGTGGTATACACGAACATAATAGTTGAGAATTATGACTTAAAATTATTAAAATTCAAATTGATAATTAGAGTTTGAACACTGAACTTGAATAAATGCTTTCAATAACTGCGATATTATGTATATAGTTTATATGTTAAGTATTAAGAATTGTATTCCAAAGAATAAAATAGATGACCACCTCAATAGTGTGAATAATCTCATACTCATAACATATTGTTGCATTTAGAAATAAACATTTTCTAAATGGAAATTTTGTTCGAATCCTATGTATTCGAATTGTACTTGTATATTGAGTTCAGGTAAGTATGAAAAGGTTTTAAGCTATACTAATATTTCTACAAAACTGTTATATTTTTAGGTAAACCAGTTTACTGTTTGTGATCAGGACAAATGAGGCAAATGTTTATTAAACAAATTTTAGTTTTCATCTAAAAGTACAATAAGGTCAAAGATTTATTTGAACAAATATTGCTGAATATCAGATTATACAACATCATATGTATAAAATTTACAAACATAACACAAATCAGCTTATCACGCCCCTAGACAACTTGTATAATCAAACGGAAGAAAACGTTTACTTTGGGCTTTTATTAATTTGAAAAATAAATGATCTATATTAAAAATTGCAATTATTTTCGGTCACAAAATTGAATAAAAATCAATATTTTATGATTTTATTCAAATGTCAAACCATTTCTTAAAAAATATTGAATTTTTAATACGTTTAACCAAACCTAACAAATTTACAGGACAAAAATAAATAAAAACAGATTCCACAATCTGGAACTAACCGGGATACGGGTTATAAATTATATTATATATGTACCTAAGAAATATGAATTTTGGTTTTAAGCATATTATTACTTTTCCTTGTATAAGAAAAAAAAACCTAATAAATTCTGATAACTTATCGTAATACCAGATGAAATATTACTAAATACCATATGTTGTTCACTTAACTACTTTGAAGGCATAATATACACAAATAGTATAACAAAATGACTTATATATCATAGTATAACAGAATAGTATAACAAAATATAGAAATTAATTTGATATATTTGTATATAATATGCAGTTAATGCATAAACTAATTTAAAAACTTGCATTATTTTCGAATAAAGAAAAACTAAAATTCTGTTGCAAATAAAATAAATTTAAATCCTTTAGATTTATTTTTAATTTTTTCTGTTTTTCTTCTTATTTATATTATATTCTTGTTATATGTATAATATAAGAAGGAAGTGTTAAATTGATCTCATATTATACTTAACTTATTTATTTACCATATTACTTCACTCTTTATTATATACATACAAAAAATTTTTGATATTTTTAGTTTAGAATAAAATGAAATTTTTATATGCACACTAAAAAATTACTTTAAAACTTGAAAGAACAATTGGTTTTTCTTTTTTATATAGTAAAATTCAGTAATAAATTTTATAGTTAAAGAAAAAAAAAATGGCAAACTAAAAACATTGAGTCCAATTTATGTATTTTCACAACTTTTCCTAATAATTTTCATAAAACTATAAAGGAAATAAGTTAACTGGGATATGAAAAGTTTTTCTTCTCATATTTTATCTTAAGAAATGTACATTTAAAAAAAAAAATTTTAGTTAACATTTGCTTTGGCAATTTAGTAATTGCAGATTTCTTTTGAAAATTTCTTGAAAAACAAAAATTGCATTTTTGCACACAAATATTTGTGACCTTTTAAATATTGTCGGTATTTTCTGGCCAGCAACTGAATTATGAAAAAAGGAGTTCAAAATTATGACAAATCGGCGGCACAAAAGACGAACTAATAAAGGCCTGAAGTTTGGAATTAATTTTTAATATAAAAATTTTATTCTGCCACTTCTCTCATATTCTGCAAATATAATATTATAAATAACGAATCGCTATGGGAAAAAAGATAGTGGTGAGTTTTTAAATCATGCCGAAAATCCCATTTTCACAAAAATTTTTCTTAACAACATCTTTTACCGTATATTCGTATCTTGAATAGTGTATTTCAAAAACTTGTATATTGTTTGCCCAAAATTTCATATTGTTTGCCTCTATAAAATACGGATTTTGAAAAGTATACCAATAGGAAACACAAAAAACTTAAGCACTAATTTCAAGGTAGCTAAAATTTTTTTCCTTAATTTAATAATAGGCATTTACTTAGCTGAAATTTTTTATAACTTAATCTTAGATTGTTTTAAGAACGGGAAATGTATCAAGAACAACTGCTACTTATAACAATTTTATTTTCAAGTACAATACTGCTTAAGTCAACCATCAAACATACATGATGTGTTTATACAATACCTATATTATGTATACATTCATAATACAAGCTAAATATTCCATAGAAAAATTTCGGTTTTGTACAAAAGAATGACAAAGTCTTAAACATATTTCTTATTTTGTTCTTGTTTTTTTTTCCTTTCTGCATTAATGGTGTGTTAACTTTTGAAATAAATAAATTTGTGACCATAATTTTTATAGTAATACCATAGAGTAGACTAAGCTATAAAAAGAAAAATTTTTGTATTACTTGTTTTTTTTATTTTGTTAGTCCTAAAAATAAAATAAATAGGATTTTAACAGTATTTGTATTGTTTAATGTCCTATGCCCTTGATATTCTCCTCAACATACATATTATTATTCAAATATGTATGTATGTACATTATATAGATATTTATGTATACATAGAAGTTTGTTTTTGTATATATACAATAAACACTATTTTGTTGTTATTATTTATTTTTTGAATGTATGGTTAAGTAATGTAATTTTTAATGGTAAAAGACTCCTTCAATATATTTTAGCAAAACTAAAATAGTCATAAAATGAAAATATGTGCATTGACTTTAATTTTGTACAGGGTTATTTCAATTATGGTAATATGATAATATTTTCAATTATGGCCTTGTTTTAAAAAATTTGTATTCTATTTTATAAACTAGTCACTTGTTATAATTAAATTGTATTATATATGTACATAATTCACGGTTGTACAACATGTATTATATCATACAATTTGTATGAATTTCGATTTTATAACAAAAATTATAGGTAACACAAAATATTATGTTCGTGATATTATATTCGTCCGGAATATAAATATTATATAGCCACCAATTTAAGATTCAAAATTTAGAAATTTTTTTTTTGATTTTACGATGCAGATATTTTAGCTTCTTTTCCAAGCAAACACGCTACACATTAATATCGTAAATATTTGCAATAAAACAAATAAAAAATTTAAAATTCTTTTCTTATCCATAATTTTCTAAAAAAAAAAAAAAAAGTTTTAGTACTTTTAAGTCGACCAATAATAATAACATTAAAGAAGTATGGGAATAAGTAAAATCGCTCATTTAAAGTACATTACCAAAACCGAGCGCGAATACAATAAAATTTACAACAAAAAAAATAATAAACGAGAGTGGTAATAACAAAATTGTGATCATAAATTTTATTGCAAATTTTCTTTGGATTTTTTTTTTTTCAATTTTAACTCTATTCTTTCTTTTTCTTTTTGCAATAAGTAATAAGATTTTTCTTCTCTTATACCCACCCCATTAACAACTTGAGTGCAAACAAATTGCACTTTTGTGCAAAAATGCGTAAATTATTTTTCTTACTTTTAAATTAAAAAAAAAAGGAGAAAAACTAAATTAGAAAAATTTTAAAAATTATCCCTATACCAGAAATGTGAACAATAGAGAAAAAAAGAGGACACGATTTATATTAAAAATTTATTAAAGTTAATAAGGCTTATATAAAATAAGGTTCAACAAAAATAACAATAAATAAAAAAAGAGCAAGTTTACTCGTACTCTTAGAATTATTTTATTAGAGAAATATGATGAGAATCACTCCGTTTTACTTTATCATTATTGATAATGTCACTGAGAAATTTTCAATTTTCATGAATTTTGTCTTAGAACAGCAGAAAAGGTACAGTATCGAGTTCCGTTATTGCTCAATTAATACATGAGTCGAAAACAATCCAAACATATTGATAATTTATACGATATTTACCCATTACTTAATCTACCTTACCGTAGGAACTCTGTTTTTCCTACGAGTATTAGCACAAATTCTTTGCTATCATCATCTATTACTAATCGACTCATAATCTCTATGTAAAGAAAAATAGCATTTTTTTTATTATATACCAAGCCACTAACATTATACTTCTAAATTATAATCATAAAATCTGTGTATTTTATATAGAAAATCTTGTTGGGAAAATTTAATTGTTCAAATACTTGAAAGTTAATGAAAACATTTCGCCAAAAAAAAAAAACAGAGAAGGTATTAAAAAAATAATAATTATGCATTTTTTCTTAACAAAAGATTTTTTTTTAAATAAAAGCGTTAAGAAGTGGTCAAAAGGAGCGGTTCATTTATGCTACTAATTTTTTTTTTTTTCATTAATATTTTCTATACAATTCGGAACAAAAGAAAAAAAAAAGAAAACTCATAACTTTTTATTATCATAAAATGACTTAACTTTCAACTTGCTAACTGTGATACAAAAAAAAAAATTTTTATACAGGGGTAAAAGAGGTTTGTACACTTGCACATTTAATGGTGCTTAATATATGTATGTACATACTCGTATTTTACTTTTTAAGATGCTTAAAGAGCTGCTCACGTTAAGGTAACAGAAATAATAGAAATTCATTTTTAAGATTGAAATTAAATAGAAAAATTTGATAATGTTATGGGATCTACATATTTAAGAACTAGTAAATTGTCGTTGCAATTCTATAACCAATAAAATTGTACAAAAATTGGTCAATTGTTGATTTCGTCTTCCAATTTGTAGTAATTTTTGATAAATTTATATAGGTAGTTAAATATTTTT